GATGGCCTGGCTGAGTGGAATGTTGTATGTTTTCAGGGTATCCTTCACACCTTCAATCCTGGTCTTCCTTGGTCTTCCTCCTGCCTTGTATCCTGATATTCTTTTGTAATACGCTTTTGACTAGCTGGAGAGGTGCCGTGCGTGTCAGATGTCCAAACCACCTGATCTTTTGCCACTGAATGTTGTACAATCGCTAAAAATGTTAATGTATAAAAGCAGTACTGGACACACAAAGCCCGAAGCCATTAAACGTGCCGAACTTCATTAACACTTCAGGAGAAGCTGTACGGGCCGGCAGAGGTCTAAGAAGAACGACCCAGTATCCGACCCGTGTATGATAGATACCTGGTGTGGTCGGTAGCCCAATGGTTAGGCTACCGGACCCGTAATCGTGAAATATCGGGTTCGGGGGTTCGAGACTCTGTCCGATGTTGTGTCCTTGGGAAAGGCACTTTACACAAATTTCCCATTTATTGGCTCGGTAATGTCGGAGATGAATTTTTAACTCGAAGGTCCCGTCTCTTTAATAACCTAATAGTGTTGATACGATCGTTAAACCTATACCGTTTCACCATTTTCACAGATTCCCGAATTCTAGTGTGATTCGATCAAGAAGTAGAAGATCATACAATTTCTGCATAACCGGACAAGTGTGCATCACACTTTCGATTGTCCAGCTGCTCGCTTCTCTTCCCCAGTACCCTTAACTCTTCTGTACTGACGACCAGGAAAAAACTCCCTTTGGGAAAATATCTGGCCCTATATGTTGTTTCGGGAGATTTTAAGCATCCTTTCCATACCCCATCAAAAATAGCATTAAGGGGAAGCTGCACTTCGGGAAGGACTTGGGCTCAGAGGGAAAAAGCGACAAGAGAAAAAAAGGGGCGGATATTTGAAAGAGGGGCGGCAGGCGAATATGAAACTATTTTAACCAAATTTTACTTCAATAAAATATAATCCGTAGTTCTCTCTTTCTCTTCCGAGTTCTACCTTGTGTATCTTGTCATCGTTGCAGTACGTGTTTGTATGTATGTGTGCTCATTCATATACAATGTATACGGTAGTGCGTGTTTTCAAATGTGTACAGGTGGGTGTGTTTGTTTGTTTGTTTGTTTGTTAGTTTGTTTGTTTGTTTGTTTGTTTGTTTGTTTGTTTGTTTGTTTGTTTGTTTGTT